TATTATATATAGAGATAGAGATTCAGGTATTTATAGAGAGCACTCAATTACAGAACAGGTAGGGAATGATAGGCTATGGCTGGGAATAGGGATTGATATTTATTTTTCAAATTCATTAAGAAATGTTTGTGATTGACCGCACCTAACACTATAGGAAGTGTCTGTTTGTGTGAAACTGAATGCTATCTCTCATATAATATCATGGTTTGCAAAATAGTTAGCATTTCTTTCGACATATCGTGAAAACATATTCTCAGATATCCTTCTTTTGCTCAATAACTTGTTATTTAACTCAAAATCTATTTTATCTCTCTTTAGTGTTAAGAGATTGTCAACTCTTCATGAGATTGGCTTTGAATTTAAAATTTCAAACTTTGAATGCAATTCTGTTTAAACAATTGAAAGTCAAAACTATTAACACTTTTGCTGTATATTTGCAATTCATATGCCTTTAAGCTCCCAGTTATAGACCAAATGGTTGTAAGAGTAGATATAAAAGTGAACGCAAAGGGAAAACATTAGTTTTTATTGCATGTGATTATAAGCTTTGAGAAGCCAAAGAACAGTAGGTCTAAGATCTAAAAGAGCACACAATAAATGCAAAAACTCTATTCTCGACCTTAACCTCAAAGTTTGGGTTAATATATGTTTCGTACGATTCCTGAACTTTAGATCTGATAAGAGGACAAAGTGTCGGGAAAAAGACTCACAAAAAATGATAACAAAGCCTACGCTAAAAGTTCTGTGAATTTTAAATCACTTTTCATATGATATCCTAAGAGAGGATATAATTGGCGCCAAAGAGGACATACACCTCATGGCATATACACCAAAATCAATGCCACAAATGACACAAAACATTCATTATATCACTCACTAATCACATTGAGATCACATTTTATAGATTAACAAATAAATAGTCCATAAAATTGTTTATAAGAACTTGATTTACAAAATGTCTATAATATATGTATACTTATGAGAGCAAAGTTTAGCCCAAACTTTCACTTACGGTTTATAACGATTCACCAAAACATAAAAACTTTGAATTTATAGCATAGGATGTGCTTAAACTTGATATTAAAGTAGAGGAGAAAATGCCATAATAATAACAATCGTGAGTCTGTAGTGAATATACACCTGTTTTGGCGATACTCTCAAACATAATACCACTTAAAACATTACAAGAGAAAGTAGACTATAATAAAGTCTATTACTTGTGTATTAAGTCATGCAGACTTGTTATACACTGTAGACTCGCTATTAGGCAACAAATCAATGGGAATATTCAGTCACTGGCACTGTATTTATAATTAGTAGCCGTCCGTCACGTAAGTGTTACACAAATTTCAATTGAAATGAGAGACGAAACACGAGTTACAACAAGTGAGGGATAAAAGTGTTTTGAAAACTTACACAACGTTTTTCTGGTCGGTTCTGATACTTGAATTTCTTGCCGATCGATGACTAATACCTGTGCTATGAATGCTATGAGTGTTGCCTCCACTGCTTTACCACTGCTTTTCTTCTCATTTCATACTCACATTAAAACACTTGAACTGTATTTTTAATGTTTTGTAAGTTTAGCCCCAAAACAACTTTCCACACATTCTCTCGTCAGATGCGGAGCACATATACTATAAGTTCTTCATTCACTGGATTCACTGTACAGTAATATCAGTTATGGAGAGCACAGGACTCTCTCTTAACGTTACCATTTCTATGGGAGAGTGAATGAGAGAGATCTGCAACAGAAACCAATAGTACGCCTTTGAAGGAGGAGTACATCTTAGGGTAGTCTTTGCTTAATCTGTTCCGACACTACTCTCTCTCTCTCTCTCTCTCTCTCTCTCTCTCTCTCACCTCCTTCAAAGGCGTACTATTGGTTTCTGTTGCAGATCTCTCTCATTCTCTCTCTCTCTCTCTCTCTCTCTCTCTCTCCTCTATTCGTTCAATCATTCACTAACTATAACTAAAACTACGGTATAAACCATTAGACAGAACCCAAGAGCTGAGAACCGGTAGAAAATGACTAAAAAATTATATGCTTTTGTCTCGACGTTTAGTTCTTAAGTTAATTAAACAAAATATTTTTGTGTTAACAAAGATTTTTTAAGGTTAAGACATTAAACCGATTGTTAACACGAGTTGTGTGTTTATATTGAAACAAAACTGAATGCTATTAAACGCGACAGGATTTGAGGCCGGAGTAGATGTCGGAGTCTGTAATATGAGGACAGTTTGGGATTTAAGGCATTAATACCCACGCATTCATTGACAGTACAGTAAACCAGATGTGAAAAGTTTTCTCTCCCCTCAGCTATAGCTCTAGTCATACGAATAAGAAAATGTTTTGGAAGTTTTATTTGACGTAACCATCGATGGAATGCTAGAAATTGTGGATTGAAGTGAACTGATGGGCACTGATCTGCACCGGGAGTATAGGGAGTACTGTATAGAGAGGGTAACTAATGAATGCCCGAAAGATAGATATGTTAAGACTGATCGACAGACAATCCATGAACTACTGATCTCTAAGAGAGAGAAATCTTGCAAAAAACATAAAGAAGAAGATAATAACTGAGTTTGTTGTGGTGTTAGCCCTTCTCTCTCCACATGCCTTACAGTGCATACAAAAACCCCGCATAATATGCACACAATTTAAATAATAAATCACATTTAATAACAACACAACAACTTCCAGACCCCTTGCGTTTAATCATCTGAAGGTTAACTCATTTTATAATTTATCTTAAACTTAATGAAAACCACAGGAAATAAGTTTCGCAAAAAGAGGAAAAGACTATAATATAATAGACGTGAAAAGCGAAAGTAAGACCACCAATGAATAGCGCAAAACTTTCAATAAATAAAAACTAAACTAAACACTCAAACAATAAAAAGTTAACACAAAAAACTTTTTACATTCATTCGCCGCGCGAATCGAAAGTTAGGAGAAAAACCAATAAATTTTTTTTCCAGCATTCGCTTCGTGTAAACATTTCGTACCATTTATTATGAATTGATGTAAAAGTTTTGCGAATGTTTTTTGTGCTTCACTTCAAATCATAAAAGACTTGTTTGATTTAATATATAATTTATAAAATAGTCATATATCGTGATACAATAATCAAAATATTTGTATAACATTTCTTTCTGATTGAATTTCATTAATATCCTGTTTTTGACAGAGAGTTGTCGCCAAACAAACAAACTTTTCTATATTTCATTTCTTCTAAAATGTCTTTTAGTTTTTGTATTTAAAAGGCAACACATTTACGAAAATGAGTTTTCTTTTGGTTTGGGAGAGAGAAATGGTTTAGAGCCGAAACCCACCCCCGCCTCCATTACAACCATTTATAGCTATACTTGAATAACATTAAAATATTTGTTATACAAGTGACCATTAAATGCGATCATGTTTTACATAATTCTTTCCAGTCATACAGTAATTGATAAGTTATGATAAGTTAAGTCCCGAATACTGACTCAATGAATGGCTTAAGTCTGTTAAGAGTTGCTGTCAAATAGTATTTGATTGCACTCTAACAGCACATCCGAGACATGTATTTGTGTTCAACAATAACAACAAATCGTCAAATTATTATCACTGAATCAGAAGGAGAGGCAAAACTGTTTATTCTGTTCAGCCGTTCCTCAAGAGTTTTTATTTAAAATTTCAATGACTTGTTTTATAGATACCGTTCCCCTGCTCTGCATATTTAGCGCTATTCTTTAGGAAATGCGTTGGGATTACAGTATAGCTGAACCACAAGTCTTGTGGAGCACCGGTTCCTCCACAACAGCAACAGCGGTCTGCCTTCAGGTGAGTCACAGACCGCTGTTGTGTTGATCTTTTTAATACTTATGTATATTTATGATGGATTGTGGGCTGGGATGGCATCGATCGCATCACAAGTCTATCCTCTAACTCAATATATTGTATGAGTATTTCATTCTACACTCAATGCAATTCAAGAGCCAATTGTTCGCTTATATAATATAATAAAGACCTTTCGTGTCAATGGATTTATCGTTTATTCTTCTTCTTTGTATTCCGTATTGCCGTAAAAATTTTGGGTTAAAATTGATTTAAAAGTTTTTCAAACAAATATTCAAATAAAATATTCAAAACAGCGTTTGTGTTGAGACTTAAGTCTGAGGAGGAAATTAAAGACTATAAATTTGGTGACGAATTGGATCATTGGATTGAAAAAATCTGTGGCTTTTTTGCTGATCAATGGATAATTCCAGAGACCAAGGATGATATGAAGTGATAATTTTTAGCCTTAAAATTCATGTGTAAAAAACACTAAAACTTTATTTAATAGATATCTTTTAATGCATTTATTTTGTTAGTTTATAAATCGGGTTAAAAGCATTTGATATAGCATTTGAAAAGTATTTCTATAACTATTAAACATTACCTCCAAAGATGCCAAAGAAGTGGAAGGAATGTGCAATCAATGGCTCGAAGGCTGCGATAAAAAAGCAATTATTGAATCCGTAAAACAACGTTCAATATATAGCTTTGATTCTCCAGACTATCTATTAATTATAAATTTAATAAATATTTTCGTTCACTCCTTCATATGTTGTTCAAACAATTAGCGGCAAAATATATACTTTAATTTGCAATCATTTATATATAATTATAACTTTTTTGAGCAGAAAATTGTTTACAAATTGAATGAAAACGAAAAACTAAAACTCAATTTAATGAACATTACTTTGTGTTGAAATATCATTAACTATTAGTATAGAGAAAAAGGCATAAAATGATTATTATTTTTTGATTATATTATTAATAACGAGAACTCAAAACATATTTTTGAAACCAATAAAACAAAAAACAACTCCAAAAACTGTTTCAATGCTATCCATAAGAGATAATAAACACATTAAACAATAATTAAAAGTATAAATTGTATGAATAAATCATAAGCTAAACAAATATTGACAATTAATATAACGATGACATCAATATTTCTGACATGACATCACTTTTTGCTCACAAAATCGCTGCCTTTTATATAAAACCGAAACTCTTTGTCCACCCATTCCTGGTCTCCAGAAATGCCGATTCGTTTCGAGCAAACGATATCTTCGGCACAAACGGCGGCCGACCTCTCGATCCAAATGAGGGAACTGTTAGTTATGTCCACTTTATTCATATTATCCTTAGTTATGTCAAAAGCTATACACAATTTTGAGGGTCCGTTGGCCAACATTTTAGGTTTGTATGGCTTCTCAACTCTATTATCATCGCTACTCGTCTGACGACGTCTTCGCTGAAATTGAGTCCTCAATTGATTCATGGAATCGATTCCCTCTAACGGCTCAACAGCTCTCAACAGTACTACCGCTCCCTCCTCTTCGGCCGACAAATTCAAACAATGATATATACCATGAATTTTATACACATATATAGTGGCCGAAGACATAAACATGGCTTCATTGCATTTGGTCCGACGGCCGCCGTATGTGTGGCACGACTTATCAATCACTCCCATATAGGCCTCCGTCTCGACGATCATTGCCTTAAGGATTGGTCCCTCCGGTGATAGTCTTCGGCATAAGGTTTGTCCCAAAAGCGCTTTCGATAACTGAATACAAGTTTTTGTGGCAAAGAATTGATAGCAAAGTCTGTCAATGGATTGGAAATAAGGGCTGATTTGACGTGATTTGGGACTTAATTGGCAATCGTTTGCATCGATTGCTGTTTTGCTAGTCTTATGTCTCTTAAGAGTATTGAGGTTATGATTATCTCTTTGTTTTGTTTTTGTGTCCGCTTTTGATCTCTTGCTGGCCATCGATGCCATCAATCAATCGATACATGCATTCAATTAATGAAATGTCAGAAAAGAAATGAGTAATCATTGAGTGAAACGAAATCAAGTATTGTTTGTGTCATAACAAGTGTTTTGACGACAAAAATGACTATAAATTGAATGAATTGTGAAATTGAAGGAAAACTTTTGAATCACTTTTGCATTCAATTAATCGTTTCATTCAAACACTAATAAAACATATGTTTTGAACCAAACTTTCAAACACTGGTTAGGGATGTGTTTGAATGACTCATACGATTGCCATTCAATTGAATGCACAAACAGTGATCGCAAAGCCGTCAACACCTCTACCAGCGATTGAAGTTGTGTTGCAATAGAACTGAATGCGATTGAAATGAATTGTAAATCTAATTGCAATTAGCGTTGAATTGATTACATGTTTAACGTATGGCTTATAATTGGTGTCACTATTAATGCGACCACACATTCAGTCATACGTTAAACCAATGTTTAGATTAGATTTCAATACAATTTCGTATCAAATGTTTTGGTAATCATTGAAAATAAAAAACAAACTTATTTTTGGTCTCAAAAAACATATTAATTAACATTTGATTTGATTTTGAGATAACAATCAAAAGCATTGATTAGTTGTATTGATTACAAGATATGATATCCAAAGGTTTGTGCGGAAAATATTTTGATTTGTTTTGTTTTTGGCGTTTATTTGGTTTGAACTGAAACTGAATTTTGCTTTCAATTTGCCGTTTGTTTCAGACTTTGGCTCAAATTGGCTGTCGTTTGACAACACAATCGACTGATAATGAAATGCATTTTATTTAATGTTTAGTAGAGTTTTGTTTACAATTTATGGCTTAAAGAGAGATAAGAGAGAAGAAGACATGCATTTGATTACAAGAGTTATATAAAAGAAATATTGATATTAAATATCAATTCAATGCCTAAACCATTAGATATGAAGTGAAAACTTATTCAATCAAATGTTTGCCAAAAACTGTGATTTAGATTTAGTTGAGCGACAAATACAGTACTGTTTAGCCTTAGAAACAGTTTTACTAACAAATTGAGCGCAAACTGTGATCGTATTAATTGAATGGTTGGAAGCGCTGTAAGTGATGGCCAACGAACTGAAGAGCGGTCACAATAGTTCCACT